TTCCCCATTACAGTTGTAACATTCAGTGAGATCTACATTTGTAAGGACTTGCTTCTGTTTAAGTGAGAATCTCAAACACATACTGAGATCATAACTTTAAAATTAATGTTTAAAAATTTCAGTTGATAATTTGATGTTTTCAATCTGGTATAGTTTTGTTTTGTTTTTGTCAACTGAAGAAGCATTGTAGGTAATAGAAGCAGGATTTTTTAAATCACCAAGTTATTAAACTCCACTTTCAATGAGATTGATAGGACCTACTTGGAAATCAGAATACCTGAGTTAAGTACTGCCATGCCCCCAGTGCGTGAAAATGAGCCCATCATCTCCTCTCTCTGGACCTCTGTTTTCTTGTCAGCAAAATAAAGAAGTTGATAGGTGATCTCTATTTTAACTTTCTGTTGGACTGTGATTCTATGTCTTTTTTTTTTTAATGCATTTTATTGAAATATAATTTATGTACAGTGAAATACACAAAACTAAAGTGACATGGGTCAATGCATTTTTTTTTCAGTGTACCCTCCTTTCTCCTCCCCTTCCCCCCCTTGTAACCAACAAAGAAAGTTTCTCTCCATGTATAAACCTTTCCTTGACTCTCCAAAACCACGATCTAATACTATATTTGTCCTTCTGTGATTGACTTATTTCACTCAGCATAATATCCTCCAACTTCGTCCATATTATGCAATGTTTTACAGACTCTACATTATTCTTTAGTGCTACATAGCATTCCAGTACATGTGTGGTCATCCACTCTTCCACTGATGGGCACATAGGTTGTTTCCATCTTTTTGATATTGTAAATAGTGCTGTGATGAACATGAGCATGCATGTATCTGTTCCGATCCTGGCTCTCGCTTCTCTAGGATATATACCTAGTAATGGAATTGCTGGGTCAAATAGTATCTCCAATTCCAGCTTTCTAAGGAATAGCCATATTGCTTTCCACAGTGGTTGTGTCACTTCACAGTCACACAAGCAGTGTATGAGAGTCTCAATCTCTCCACTTCCCCACCAGAATTTGTTATTTTCTGTCTCACTGACTCTTGCCATCAGTGCTGGGATAAGATGGTAAATCTTATTGTTGTTTTGATTTACATCTCTCTGATGGCCAATGATTGTGAGCATCTTTTCATGTATTAGCTGACCACCTGAATATCCTCCTTGGTGAACTGTCCATTCATGTATTCTGCCCATTTTTCAATTGGATTGTTAATTCCTTTGGTGTCGAGGCATTGGAGTTTTCCATCAATCTTAGAGATAAGTCCCTTGCCAGATATGTAATTACCAGCAAGTATGAATTGCTGCCATCATTTTAGTCATGTGTTCTTCATTGTGTCGATTTCTTTGTTCCATACAATTTTCTATGCTGAACTCGTTTTGTTTATGAATCATGTTATCACTTCCTTCATTGCTATTGTTGTAATATTTGCTGAATATTTATGCTGGTCCTCTTTTTTATTTTGTTGTGAAGGTTTATCATTTTTCTTTGAGGTTAC